TATTGATTTTACAAAGTGTGTTTTCATTTACCCAAATATTTACATTTTAGTGTGGTAGAAATCATCCATATTTTCTTTATGGTTTGTGCTTGTGTTAATGAAAGAAATGGTAATTGTCTTTGCTCACACTCCTCTTTGCCTTTCTAGCCTTCCTTCTGGGATCATTTCTCTTTTCCTAAAGGGCATTCATGAGAAGCCTGTTTGTCTGGAAATGTCTATATTTAGGTCCTTGGAAGATGCTCTTGAGATATAATTTTAGTAACTAGCTTTTATTATGCCACCATCTTCTGGCTCCCACTGTTGCTGGTGAGGAGTCAACTCATTCTCTCACTGTTGCTCTTTGTAATATTCTTTTTGTCTCTGACTACTTAGAAGATTTATTTTTGGTCTTTGATGCTGTGTGGTTTTGCTTTGATTTGTCTAAGGTAGACTTCTTTTTGTTTCTCCTGTTTGGGATTTGTTGGGGTTCCTGAATGCAAGGATCGGTTCCTTTTATTAACTCTGAAAATTTCTTACTGCTTATCTCTTAGAATGTCCCTGTCTCCATTCTGTTATCTGTTCCTGAGGCCCCAAGTTAAATATGTGTTCTTCCCTGTTGTCTTTTTTATCAGTGTTTCTCAGACATTTTGTGTGCCAATAGGTCACCCAGAAGTCTCGATTCTGAGAAGGAGCAGGCTGGGAAGGATGGCCTGCCCAGAGCCCTGCTCCTGGGCGGCTTAGCAGGAGAGGGTGCTGATCTATTTGTTTAACCCTAGAGAAGGGGGACACACACAGGAAGATTTAGCTCAAACCAACCATAGTGGCAGTTATCCCAGACCTCCTGTTTTGTTGAGAGTGGCTGTAGTAGCCCCAGTCTGACAGCAGGTGGGCCATGGGTCATGGGCACCTTTCCCTAACTTGGAGCTCCTCAATCTGGAAAGAACAGAGACTGACATGTGGCCATCAGCTGATGGCCACGGAGTGCAGTGCTGGTAGTGCTGGTTACTCTTTCCCTGTTCGCTATGAAATTTGAGGAGCAGCCTCAGTGCCAGCTCCCCACAGGGCGAAGGAAGAGGTCTTCATGTGTCTACAGTGAAATGCGCAGCCCAACAGCCCCTGGAAAGATGTAACTATGCATACTTCCACTGATCTCTTTATTTCTATTATTACTCACATGTTGCTTATTTCACAATAAGTAGCTATCTATTCCACGTCTTTACAGTTTCCCCTCTGTTGACTCTCTAAGGGATACATTTCCTGGCATATACTGGTGCCCATATCACTCCCAGTTACTTAACATCCTCTGCTGAAATCAAGTGGTTTGGGGAGTGAGCCCATTCCTCCATTCTCTGGCTCCTCACTGGAAACTTCCACTTCCTTGCACGTGCAATTGGATGATGGTCCTGACGGCTACTTCACACTGCTAGTGTAAGGCTCAGGCAAGAAAGCAGAGGTGGCCAGTGCTCTGTCACCTCTAATATGTTGGTTTTGTTGTTGCTTGCATTCAGCACCCTCTTTAAATGAGGAGCTATTAAGTCTAGAGATGACATGGAAACCAAAAACTAGAAATAAAGCTCGCACATGAGGGTATGCTTGAAGCTGACTAATTTCTTTCAGGAGAAAACAATTTCTTTCTGGTGCAATCACATTACAGTGGCAGAAATACTGGATGAGAGAGAGAATGGGGCGGTCTCTGCACTGTCTGTCCAGGCTTTGCAGCTCTCCGCATCTGCTCCCACATCTGGATCTGGAGTCCAGCTGCCTGACACCAGGGGCAGGACAAACAGAAGGCAGGGGGCTGCTTCTGAGACTGGTGGGCAGCTGTCCTAGCACTTTGTGGCTAGTGGCTGAGAGTCCTCCCTCTGCCCAGCAGTCCCTGTGCCTCTCCACAATGTACAAGAGTGATAAGCTTCCAGGAGTATTTGGATAAAAGAATGCAGAAACCTAGAGGGAAACTGGTGGCAAGGTGCGCGGGAGGTGTTGACAATTCTTAAAGGTAAATCAGAAAGCCTTCTTTAGAACTAAGCACAGAAAAAAATGTGTAATTTATTTCTAGATGAAGAAATATTCAGATTAGATTCAAGAAATGTATTCTAAGTAAGACATGTCTGATTCAGGTAAGATAGTAAGATCCTAAAATATGTCTATATGTCTATGGTGTATCAGCCACTGTGGTTGAAATATTAAATTGGGCATTCAATTATATTATAAAATAAATTAGTGTTTACTGTAGTGATTATATTTGGGTTATAAGAAATGAAGCTTTTAAAATTACTATTGATACTAAGCCCAGATAAAAACTGCCTTCTTGACCATCATCACCTATGTCACCAAATAGTCATTTTATTTTTGTTTTGGATTTATAAATAATGTGATTTATAAATAACCATCCAAGTCTTCCACTCTCTGTGCCCACAAGAAAAGCAGTTATAAAGGCTCCTCCTAGCCGGGTCCCAGCAGCTGCTCCCAACCCCACTGCTGGTCCAGAGGGCAGAACATCCATCCGCACAGAAACCCATCTCACAACAAGCAGCCACCTGCACCGCATCTCTACCAAATGCGATGAGGCAGCTGTAGAATGGGAGTTGGAAGTTAGTTTAAACCAATCTGAAAAAAAAACCCAGTCAAACTACCCACTTTGAAGAGAAACTGAGAAAAGAGTAAAACAACCTATTGACATAAAATCAACCAAATCAATCACAGGCACCTATACCTACCACTGGACATTTCCGATCAGAAACACTTCTCTGTCAATTCAGAGCCTGAGGCGGGGGGCAGTGGCTGTGAGACCACTGGCCTTACGTCATCAGTGGGCTTGTGGGTCTGAGCATCAACCTTGGGGCCCTTCACTAAGGGCCAAACCACTGTTGAGTTCACCAGCTGTAAAAAGGTCAAAGAGCCACATCTTCGAACCTGCTACTGCACACACACACACATTTCTAAGGGTGAGAGACTGTCACGCCTGGGTTAAATGAAGGCTACGTTACCCTAGAAACCAGGCTTCTTGGCTCCATTCTGACCTCCCGTCCCCACCACTCTGGACATTCTATTAGAGGCTGTGGAACCTGCCCATTGCAGTGTCACTGTTCCCACCTGGTCCCACATGTGCCCCCTCACCCTGCACAGCACTCCTGCATGTGGGGTTGAGCCAGTCTTCCCCGACATGCTAACATCTGCCTCCCTCAGTCCATGGGCTGTAGGTTACGACAATACGGGACAGGCATTGCCCGTCTGGAATCAGAAAGGTTCCTGGGCTTATGGGGCAGTTCCTGCCAGCTGCTGCGGTCTCACAGCTCCGCTGCTCTGAGTTTCACGGGCAATGCCACTCACCTCCTGGGAGTACGAGACATCAACTTTTTCTTTAAAGCTGCTGATGGTTCTTTCGAGAAGGCTGAGGAGTTTCACACCTTCACCCACCCACCCACCACTGAGATCTCATTAAAATAAATTCATAGAAGGGTGAAGGGTATCCCAAGTAACAGAGAACGGGGAAGTGGGGGAATCACTGGCCGGGCCAGGTATTGGCACACGTGGAGGCTGAGGTGGCCGTGGGTGGCTTCAGCAGTGGCGTCGGGAGGGCTGGTCAGGGGACTGCAGTGAGACGGGGGCAGAACTGGGTATCAGCCCACCAACCGCCTGACGTTGGAGAGCTACGCCCCCCGCCCAGCTTCTATTTGATAAGTGGAGCCCTAACAGCACATTCTGGGCAGGAGGAAAATGGCTTCCCAGTGGGGACAGGCAGGTGAGCCCACCACTGATTTAGAATTATACTGTCCTCACCTTAGGGGGAAAACCAAGAACCATTAAAAATGGCTTGGGGGTGTGACAGTTGGGGAGAAACTTCTTTTCACCATGTCCTCTATCACTTGATTTCTGTATGTGCTGATTAATAAGGTGTGTTTTTTTTTAAAGAGAAAAATCATCAGCATTTCTTCTCTACTCAATAGAAAATTTCCTTCAGTGACAGTGAACTGATCTCTGTATTTCCAATACATGTACTTACTTAATGTATGTTACTTCTTAAACCCCCCCCTCACCCTGCTTTTGCATGGTACTAAGACGGCCCCCACTTCACCTGCCCAACTCAAAGTGCAAGGGTTTGCAGAAGAGCCGAGCACAGGCTCGCCTGCGTGGCGGCACCTCCCTGTCAGGAGCAGAGCTGGAGGATCTGAAGCTCAGCAAATGTGCAGGGCGGTGTGGAAAGGAAAGAGGGTTCTTAAAATGGACTGCAGGTTTGCTCCACCTGCCGAAAGCAGCAAAACCAATGGCCCACCTCGGCCTCTCTTTCTTGTTTCCTCCTCCCTCACCCCATTTTTCCTGGCACCAGCTAGTGCCACTGTCTTTACCTGCTGTATCTGAACCCTAGGGAGAAAGCCTCCAGCTCTCCATTGCTGCCCCACATCTTGGCCTGAGAGCTGCATGCGGTCCCCTTGGCCCCCACACCAAGGGAGTCCAAGATGCTTCTCCTGGAAGTGCCTTCGGGACGTCTTTGTCCCCCAGCAATGATGTTACTAACTCTAGAATGAAACCAAGGCCTGTCCCCTTTGGCCTTCATACCTATATGGACCCTGTTTCAACTAAGGCTTCTCAGTGGAAGAGTATAGCCTCCCCAGACGTTCAAACACCCTTTGTGACACAACTCAGACCTACTTAACAGCACGTCCCCTCACTTCTTAGGTGCTTGTGAGACACTGCTACTCCTGCCAGGGGGCAGGGGTGCGTGCTGGGGACAAGGCAGTCCCGCAGTCATCGCCCACCGGAGGCCCTGTGTGTGGAGGAAAGCCCCCACTGCAGCGACAATCAAACCAATTTGACATCAGGCCAAGTCCTCCACATGAGTAGAATTAGTGCTAAGAGGTTTAAGGTTATTCAAGGTCATATGTATACGACAGAGGTCAGGGACATTGAGAGACCGGTATTAATATTATTGTGTAATATTAATATTGTAGCAGTTCACAGCAGCATGCAGGTAGTAAATGGTAACAAGAGGAGGAGGGAAGGGAAACAAAGTGGAAACTCACATCTGGGTGCGGGATGGCGTACTGTCCCTGGATCGTGTAGGCCTAGGGAGAGAAACACTGTCAGCGAGGGAAGTGGAGGCCCTCTCCTGCAGAACAGGCTCTCTCCTGGGCGGGACTTTCATGTGAAGAGGTCCCAAGCCCTCTGGGTATAGCTGTCCCCTCCAAGAGCACATCTCCACCTGCCTCAACTGTGAAGGACCAAGGGGAGTGACCTGGAGTCAAGCCTCAGCACCACCCCTTGCTGGCTGGAGCTACAACCACACACATGAGCCAGGGAGTTGCACCCCGCTTCCTAGAGGTCTGCAAGAGGGAAATGACTCGCCCCTGAATGCTTTTGACTCCCATACCCCCAGTTTCTTAAAAGAAAATACCTAAAAGAAACCTTTAAAAAGTGACCCAAAATCAATTTTGCAAAACCCAGATTAAGTAATAAATGCAACCAAATCAGTCACAAGATTGACCAGTTCATCTTCCAGCCTCTGAGAATGGGGTGGCTATTCTGACTTGGGGGGCAGCACACTCCTGGCACAGCTCCCAGGGGGGCCAGAGTGGGTACTGAGGCCTCATTTGGTTTCAAGACGGTGACCGGGACCAGTCACAGCAAGTGTAGGACCCTGCGGCCTCTCCTACTGGTCCCTATACAAACCCCACTGACAAGAAGAGGCCCCGCCCACCCCACCCGCCTCAACAGTCCATTAGCTAAAATACTTCCAGAAATTAATGGCCAAAAAACAAACCACACAGAGTCAAGGGAGAGTAAAGACCGAAGACTTGCCATCAGGCCTTGGTGACATGGAATGCGCCCACCAGCCCCAGGCCAGCCACACTTGGGCCTGCAGGCATACGGTGGCTCAGATGTGGAGGGACATGGCTTCTAGCACCTGGCCATGTAGGGCCCCCCATGGTATGTCCTAAGCTCACAGCTGATGCCCACCCACACAGGTTCCTGTGAATCTGAGGGAAACTGCAGGCCTGTCCAGAAGTCAATTCCAGAGACCCCAAACCGAGGGTGGTTTCCAAATGGCAGGTTTTGCATCTGCTGAGTTTTCATCATGAACAGCCCAGCCTGGGAGTTAAAGACCAGCCAGCCATTGGACAGGGACCATGAGAGGAGAGGCCTGAGTATGGCACTTCACAGGAAGTAATCTTATCAGAGAGCAAGTGTCCTGGGGAAACGGCAGTGGGGTGCTGCCTATGCTTGTGTTGTGAGTCCACAGAAGCTGTGTCCACACCTCACCTTCAGGGTTTTTGGAGGTGTCACCAGGCATGCTCCAATGTGTCACCAAACACACACTGACCTGGGACACACATTGCCCCCACAGAGCCAGGCAGGGATGGGCCGGCCTTGCAGCAGTGCAGCCCTGCATGTCTGAGTGGAACTGCACGGCATCCTGGCAGGGCAGGTCTGTGCCCTGACATCTTGTTTCTGGCTCACTTTCCCTTCACTTAGGTGGCTGTGGTCTTCGGTTTTGTTTAAACTATGTGCACAGCTGACCATCCCCTCTGGGTCGAGGTAGAGGCAGACAAACAGATAAAAGGTTCTGTCAAAATGAAAACTGTATCATCTGCGGTCAGCGGGAGAAGCAGGATGCCTGCTGGACAAACTGTGCCTGCCCGCTGCCTCCGAGACCTCCAGGGGCGTGTCACCACCGCAGGCAGGCCACCTGCAGGGAGGGGTATCTGCTCACAAGTCAGTCAGAGTGAGGCTCTCTGGCCACACATCTCTGAAGTCCAGGTTTGAAGTGTGTCCAGAGGGCAGTGTGGGGTCTGATACTGGAAGGGTCCCCTTGCTGTGTTAGGTCTCATTTGCACCCTCATTTCTGAGCCTGTACTGTGGCTCCTCTGCCTGGTTAACTGCAGTGCAGTGGTGACTCTGTCTCATGTGACTTTTTCCCCCCATAGATGACCAGGACTAGTCATTGGCTGGCCCGGACTGTCCCTAAGGCATAGACACTGGGTTACGATGCTGACACCCTGGAGATTGCCTCCAGACAGGTGCTCATGATGGTGGTGACTGAGAGGTGGGCCGACTGCCCTGCCTTACAGATAGGGAGATGAGATGGATGGTGGGGTGCAGACCACAGCCCACCCCAGCCAGAGCTACCTGGGCCCCTGTTTGTGTTAATATTAATGAGCCTCCTTTTTGAATAAAGTTCCACACTTCACTGAGTGGTATGATCACGGATTTGTTCCCACCTCAGAGTCAGGACCACACAGGTAACTAACCGCTAGCTCACCACAACTGCGGGGGGGAAAGGCAACAGACTTCTGAACAAAGCCCACTGTGACACCCCCCTCCACCCTGCCCTCTGAGGCTGGTGACAAGAGAGAGCAGCCATGAGCCCTCCTCAGGTCCTGGCCTCTGAGCCTCTCTTTCCTGCCCATGGCTGTTGTGGAAGACGTATGAGCGTGAAGCCTGCTGGCAAAGGTCAGGGACGTTGGGAGACCTAGTGTGAGTCGGGCTGGGGGAAACAGAGATGCCCCAAATACGGACACCTGTGGGGTCTGCCACATCTGGCTGGGGACGCTGGGAGAACCACGGGGGAGCTGTTGCATCCCTCAAATGCTACTAAAGATGTAGAAACACGGGCCCCATCTTTCACCTGACGTGTGAGTCAATTCTGAAGATAAGATTCTCTTACGTAGAGGAGAAAAACATGGGAGAAATTTGTTATGTGCCTCTTTTCTTTCTTTTTTAATGATAAAGTAAAATGTCATGGCCGTTCTCCCCTGACCTGGATTACCTCTGGAAAGTCTCTGTCTTAACTCTCCTTTGAACAGACACACATCACTGCCGACTGGACACAGAGCTCCTCCAGGCACCACCAGCCAGGCGTTTTCAAAATCCAACCATCCGCTGTGGCTGCGCAACCCGGAGGTGGGCAGGACAAACCGAGATTCTGGGCACAACTTCCTCTCTCCTCGCTCTCTCTAGGCCCTACTAAGTTAACTGCTGGCATTGCATAAAATTTCTCTGTGACCCCTGGCCTTCCAGGCCTCTTCCTGGTAGGATAGCAAAGAGGGCAGTGGCTCCAGCCAAAACAATAGGTGTGTAAAGTGAACATTTCTGGCCTGCTGTGACCATGAAGGCTCTCCTCCAGCTGAGTATCTTTCCCTTCCCCAGAGGCATGACCCTTCCCTCCCGGGCTCTTAGGAACTCATCTGTGGGAAGGTGGGAATGTGTGTTTCAGGGAAAAATGGGCCTCTAGCTCTTATAGTCCTAGATGTTTCAACTGGTAGTCATAAAGGTCACCTGTAATAATCCTGGTCCTCTTATCTGAGCTTCTTAAAAACACTTGAGAACCAGGTTTGAGCAGGTGCAGCCCAGGCAGAACTGGTGTGAGCATGGACCCATGGTCCTCCCGTGCCAGGTCAGGGAGAAGATGTTTCTGGGGCCTAGACTCCACAGGGTGCCCGCCTCGGCCCTTTCTGTTTGCTGGACACCACCTAGCCTGGCCTTTCTCATGCAGCAGCCCACGTTCACCCCGCAGCCCACCCCGGGGCCTGGCAGTGGGCCGAGAGAGCTCTGCATCCAGCGCTTGGGGGGCAGGAGACGTGCACGTGAGAAGGGAGAAAACCTGAGTGCACTAACGGGCAGCGGCGGGGGCTGCAGTAAAAGGCTGAGGTTGGCAGTGGAGGCCGCGAGCGGGTCGGCTCTTACCTGACCACCTGCAAAAATGACAGGGGTGGAGGCGGGCTTTGGGCGGTAGGGAATGGTGGCACCTTTCGGTGGGGACTAGGAAAAGGGACAGGAGAGGGAGAGAGAACGTTAGACAGCCTCACAGCGTGACAGTGATGAGGGTGGGGAGGCCTCCTTCCCGAGCCCGCCCACCTTTCTGCCCTCATCTGCCCCAACCCCCTGGGCCAGCAGTGCCAGAGGGGTGGGGGGATGCCCCACGGTGGGAGGGTGCCTGCCTGAAACCATGACCTCACCACCTCAGTTTCCTCCAAGGGGTCACTTCTCTCCTCTTAACCTCTGCCCTAATTGCCCCACCTGGTGCCATCACCCCAGCAAGATGGTGGGGAGAGTGGGTTTGAGAATGGGGAATAAAGGAAAGATGTGACCCTGTCCTTGCCCGTAGGACCCCGCATGCTGCGCAAATGGCCAGATGGCTGCCTCAGGCCTGGGCACTGTTGCTCCACACGTGTGTTAGCTTGGGGCTGTCCTGAGAGAGAAACTCTCCCTTTCTCTTGGAGCCTCTGGAAGAAGCTGGGCTGTGTGCAGCTCCACCACGGGTACTTCGGGCCCTGTGTCCCAAGGCTTCGCTTGGCCTGTGGTGATGTCCAGCTGACGTAATCACAGCAAAGTTAGAAACATCCAGTTTCACTATTTAGAAAAGGAGCCTTTTTTAAAATAAAAAGCTTAGAGTCCGAATTAAATATTCTACAGTCACGATGAGCTCAGCTATAATTTCCCTTGATTATTTTGTGTCCAAAAGAATAGGATTCTCATCTTCTGGTGAACGATATTCTCCAGTATCCGAAGTCTGCCAGATTCTGATAAAGTCAACCAGCTCCGGGGTCAGAGGCAATCAGGCCCTCCTTGTTCCTCTGGTGGGCAGTCTTCCCCTGTTGCAGAGGCCACAGTCCAGGCCGGTAATCAAGTCAGGAGCCAGAGGCAGATGGCGGGGGCCAGGGAAGCCCGTCCTATTGGGAGTTCTGGAAGTCCAGCTCACAACCTGGCCAGGTGGGTATGACATCAGAGTGCCCCCACCCAAGACACACAGTCATGTGGGGACAGCAGAGTAGATAGCAGCTTCAACTCTGCAGCCCAGGCCACATCATGAAACCTTGAACAGATTGTGCAACCTTGGCTATGCTGGGTGACCTTGACTGTGCTGTTTGACTTTGGCCATGTTGTGTGACCCTGGTCATGCTATGAGACCTCACCATAAAGTGGAAGGGGTACCAAAAGGGCGTGTGAGCTGACTCTGGCTGGTGTCTGGGGTTCAGTGTTTCTGCAGTTATGACTGAATGCCTCTAGAAATGTTTCTGTGCTAACTAGGGCTCACTATGGTCTCAGACTGGACTCAGGGCTCACTGTGGAAGAACCATGACTAAACCAAGAGTGAACAAGTGACTGATTTCACGCTTCAAGGAGAGGGCTCAGCCTGGCTGCTGCCCCTGTCCCTGAGCCGGCCATTGTGCCGCTTGTACCATGAGACTCAGCCCATCACCCCCACTCCATAGTGCCCTCTGACCCCATCAATGGCAGCATCAGCAATCCCAGCACTGTGAGTTCTGGCAGGCCATCTTGCCGAGGCTGACTTGGGATTCCTGATTCCCAGCTTCCTCTGATGCAGGAGAGGCCCTCTGAGTACAGCCTCCTGTCCGGCTTCCCCCTGGAGCAGGTGCTGCTGTGCATGGCTTTCTACCCAGGGCCCCACCCAACTTGCCCACACTAAGGGGCAACCCTCTAGGTGGTCATTTCAAAGGTGTGAGGCCCACCCCACAGCCACGCCTGAAAGTCCTTTAGTCTTCTGCTTTATTTGTCTAGTTACTCTTCACTTAAAAGTGGACCCAACTGTTTCCAGGTGTGATGAATCTTCCTCCCCAGGTAGGATAGCTGCTCCTGACCTTCAAGAGCTTTGTGACACCACCAAGAAGAAGGCATCACCTCAGTCCAATGCTTTTCATTCATTTTAGCTGTGTGTACTTCACCATTCACCAACCACATGAGCCTCCAGCCATCAGGAAGGACACAGGGCAGTTCCAGTCATGGCCTGGGGGGCACCAGTGCCCCGCAGTCAAGGAGGGTTGAGCCTGCTTCTGGGAGCTGACTGACCATGAATGTGGCACAGGCAATACCATCTGGAAGGAGTTCTGAGGAGACCTCAGGTTCTGTTCTGACACTTGATTGGGGACATGGGCAGCTATGTCAATACTGGAACTGTTATACCTCTTTGCCACCCTGAGGTGCCAAATGCTGCTTAACAGATGGGCATCTGCCAGGACTCAAGAGTCCTAGGCCTATTGCTACTGCTTATGTGGCCCCACTAGGGGCCTAGCAGCTAGGGACTGAAGGGAACATGGGTCAGCACCAATTGTCACCACAACCAGTGGTTGGGGAAACGTCAGAACAACATTTAGGAAAATATTTTTTACTTCACAAAATACACTTCAGGAAAATGAGAACTATACAATTTTTTAAAAAGAGCTGGACACGGGTTTTAATACCAAGCCAAGTACAAAAGAGTGATAAGCCCACAGCTGCCCAGTGAGGCATCGGTTCCCCTGGGAGACGGCTGTGGCAGTCACTCAAGCAGATCCTCAAGCCCAGGCTGCCTGGCCACCAGCACAGTTGCTGGGGCCTTTAATTTGAGCCAGGATGACTTCATTTCAGCCTGAAGAAAGACAGGTAACTACTGATTGCTTCAATGATTGTTGTAGCATTTTGGGTATTGGTTGAAATTTAAATATCAGGGGTTTTTTTTCCCAAAAATTTCAAGAGAGGTTTTGTCTTGCTCAGCTGTACCTTCTTTGCTTCTCCTTTGACTTTTAATCCTTTTATTTACTTTTCTGTCTTTACAATTTGGGCATTTTTGTGTGCTTTTCCTAAGTCCTGTCCTTTGTACCTTGACGGAGCTCAGACACCTTTGGCAGGTCCAGAGCAAGGAGTCTTGCCCACAGGAAGTACCCTTCCACCTCTAGTCCCCACCTCCAGCACAGCCCATCTCCCATGCAGACGTCCCTCCAGTGCAGACCCCTGTGCAGTGCAGACCCCTTTCCGGTGCAGACTCGTCTTCAGAACAGACCTGTCTTCACTGCAGATCTCTTCTACCATTTTGGGGGCTGAACCCTTTAGGAGAGACCCTTCACATCACAAGTAATAACTTTCCACCTCAGTTCCAGGAAAAAAGGGAGGAGCACATGCCTCCCCACGTCTTCTCCACTGACAGCCCATTGAAGATGACGGACCACCCCCTATAGGTGGCAGGCACCAGTGCTGTCCCTTCACAGTGGCTGGCATGGCTTCCACTTGGGTCACTTTGGACCTGGATCAGTGACCTGGGTCATATTTCTGATACGTGGCCCCTACACAGCGCTGACCTTGTGAAACCTCAGGGCCCCAAAGCACCAAAGCCTTTGTTGTCACCAACACTAAGAAGCCACAGCCAGCATGGAGGGCAGGCTGACCACAAGCACAGACGCAGAGACTATACCTCCAGCATGACCACACAGATCTGCTTGACACACTGGATGATAGCGTCGGGAGTTCCTGAGATGGTCACTGCCCGCTCTGTGGAGTTGGGCAGCATGTCCCCAGCCACCTGGACCTGGGCACCTGTGGACTGGAGAAACCAGACGTTGGAAGGGGCAGAGCCGAGAGAACAGGGGGCAGTGAATGCTGAAGCAGCACTTCCCGGATTCTCTCGAGGGTTTACCTAGGGCACAGTGTACCAGAAAGCCACTCTGACATTAACCCCATGTTGTTCACTCCATGGGCAGCCAGGCCTTCCGCATGTTCCCTTGGGGAGCCCCTGTGGGCAGATCTTGTCTGTCTCAGCCCACCGCTGACCAGCACAGAGCTGGTTCAGGATAAGCATTGCTGCCTAGGAGGCGTTTTAATTGGTGGACAGGCATTCGCAGGAGACAAAGACAGAAAGGGAGTCACTTTTTTCAAATATGTGGAATTCTGTCTCCTCTGTGGAGTTTTAGGTCACAGAGAAAGATGCATTCAAGATGAGCCTAACCTTTGTGACCTATTCCCTTGAAGGAATAAAGATGGGGTGGCCACCCTCATTCCGGAAGCGAAGGATCAGGCTTTCCGTGAAATGAATGAACATAAGATTATAGAGTCCGAGGTTCCTACTAACTCCATTCCAGCTGGGATGGCTCCTCTTCTTTCAAGAAACTGAGGGCAGAGACCACAGACCCATGTGTCTGAAGTTCCTACCAACTCCATCCCAGCTGGGATGGCTCCTCTTCTTCCAGGAAACAGGGCAGAGACCACAGATCCATGTGTAGGGCCTCTGTGCCTCAGAGCCATAAGACAGGGGCAGGGTACTCAGTCCACCCTGTCCCAAGATGCCCCTTCCTGTCCCCAGTCCAGACACATGCAGTGCCTGGCACCTGCGCACATGCCCCCTTACCCACCCAGTGGCTCAGCACCCACCAGGATGGGAAAGGTCCTGTTACCTCCCTGATCTCCTTGATCTTGGAGCCACCTTTGCCAATCAGGGAACCACACTGGCTGGCTGGGACCACCAATCTCAGCGTCACTGGGGGCTTGCTGGTGGCAGGGCTGTTGCTCATGGAGTTGATGATGTCCTGGGGATGGAGGAAAGTGTGTGTGTTGGCTGACAGCCTGTGTGTGGATACCAGGAATGCAGATGTGAGGCTCTGCTTCGAGCCCTTGATGAGCCAGGGGGCAGGGAACACAGGCCAAAGAGACTAGCAGCAAGGGCCCTTCCCTGAGAAGCTCTGATCCATGGGGAAGAGGACCCAGCGTGAAGATGTGTGCACTCCCAAATGACCGAGCACACAACCAGGAAAATAGCCGAGTGTGCAGAGAGAGGGCACAGCAGCCCGGTTAGGCTGGTTACAGCAGCTTGAAGACCAAGTCAGGCTCAGAAGGACAAGGAGAGAGTGGTGGGATGGACAGAAGGGGACCCAACAAAGACATGTGCCAGGGCAGCCATGGTGCTGCTATGGACAGGACAGGATGCAGACTGGAGGGTACCTGGATTTAGAGCCTGACATTTATCCTTAGGGCCTGGCAGAGCATGGGGGTTTTGGACAGAGAGGGTGACATTTTTGACAAAAAAAAATGTATTCGCCAGCTTGATCATCCTCTGAATAAAAACATTCAATGTATCTCCAAATAATTTAAAAAATTTTTGAAACCCATAAAAACTTGAAGATGTGACTCACTGACGTAAGTACACAGGCATTCATATGACCTCACAGGGGATTCACTCCTCCACCTGCATCCCTTTACCCGTTCACACCTAGGCCAAACTACTCTACCCAGGGTCAGGCCAGCTGCTGTAGAGAGGGCTGAGGCCCACACATGCTGGTCAGGGTCCGAGGACATATCAGTGAGATGGGCAAACACACCTGCTGACCAGACAAGGGAGACACTGGTCCACTACCAGGTGGATCAGAGCAGGGAGAGTCCTGGGAGGCGGAGGAGGGGACAGGAGCTGAGAGAGGTTGTCCTGAGCGGGCTGGGCCATGACCTTGTCCAGATGTAGGGGAAGAGGTGCCTGCGAACCAGCTGGGACCAGCCCTGTCCAGCATTTGTCTCAAGTGGGTGAATCTTACCTCCTCAAACTTGTAGGCGATCATGGCAAAGGCCTTGAAGATGGCATCAGTCGGGCCTGTGATGGTCACGATTCTTTCTGGGCAGTTTCCCTCCGAGATGTTGATCCGGGCACCACTCTAGAAGGGAGTTGAGTAAACTCCAGAAACTGGACTAAAGCTGACCCTGCAGGGCCAGTAATGGGGTGGCTTCTCCCCTAACAACAACTGATACAAACATATTCAACTGAACTCTGGCAGGCTAAGCTTGGCACTAATCAGTAAAGGTCTCTTCAGTACTGCCTTCTACAGTGAGATTTTAATTAGAGAAAGGACCTGAGTGACCGGTAAGGATGCACTGTGCCCATGGCAGCCCCTGCAGGAACCGCTGGCATCTGCATGTGGAGGAGGGGCCTCTGTGCTGCTGGGTGTCTCTCCTCCAGTGCAGTGACTGCAGCGGCCCTTCTGCCCATCGAAGACAGTACACAGCTGATGCACACAAACTCACCTCTTCACGCATCTTTTTCACAGTTTCTCCTTTCTGTAATAAAGATTTAGACAACAGGAAGAAGGGTCACTCAGGGGTCTGCTACAGGCAAACAGAGGGTTTGGTGCAGCAGTGTGAGGTGGTGGGAGCCCCCTGAAGCCCAGTGTGCCTGGGTGAGTGGGCAGCAGCTCCTCAGGAGATAGGGTTTCCTACTACCAGGTGCTGCCCAGAGCCTGACACACTCCACGACTCACTGAGCCCTCAGCACACCTGACATCTGAGCCCATGGAGGAGGAAACCCAGGTGCTTACCCAGGGGCATGTAGCCATGAAGGCAGAAGGGCTGGGACCTGGGGACCTGACCGGGTACCATACTTGGCCAGGGCACCTGCTCCATGGAGACAGGAATACACCCAGGTCATAGCTGTCCGCATCTTCATCACAGGCAAACCAGGACCAGGGCCACAAGGGGAAGGAGAGAGAGGGACCACCTGAGGCATATGTAGAAAGAGCTGAATTTGAGCACTGGAGGTACCCCCACTGCACAGGGACCACCCACGGAATGTTTCTTCTATTCTGGAATGGAAATACAGAGACTCACTACCATTCACAGAGGTAGGTGCCCCCTCTGAAGAATGGAAGTAAAGGAATTCTTACTGGGCTGCCATGCCCAGGAGGACAGTCTGGCTACCAGGGCAACGGGAGGTGGGCAGGGCTGCTGAGTGACCAGCTGGGAGTCAGTGAACAGGATGCTCTCAGTCCAGCCCCACAGTGGTTCATCTTGAGAGTAGGAGACTTGGAATTCCTCTGGGATCCTCACTGCACAGAGACGCTCCTGCCCTGCAGGCACCTCTCCCCCAACCAAAGCACAGAGACACCAGCAGAGGCAGAGAGTTTGCTCAATAATTACCTTCCCGATGATGCTTCCAACTTCCTGTAAGAAAGATCACAGAAAGCTGACGTCATAGAGCAGAAGGAGAAAGCAACTATGGCTTTGACAGACACTGCGAACCCGTCTGTTCTGAATGAGGAAGGGACATTTAGTCATAAGAGGGCTTGCAGGCCCTATGTCTGGAGGGTCCCTCTGTGCCCATCTGACCACCACTGACCCTGGTCCTGCTCTGACAAACAGACAACTGAGCAGAGGGGAATGGCCAGCTGCTTTCCAGCTAGAAGAGTCGAGAGACACACCTATGCACTTAAGGCTGAAAGGAAACCCTGCAAGAAATAGGTGAACAACAGAATCTTCCTCGATTCTGTGATATACAGAAAAGTTAGCGCTGCCTTTGCTGCTTTACTTTTTTAAAAAATGCAGAATATTCAAAGACACCCTTGAACTAGTTCTAAAGCCTGGAGTCCATGACAGTTTGGACATGTGGTCCCAGCCAGGTCTGCTCATCACAGCACCTCTCTGCCCTGGAGAGATCCATATAGTGCCACTGTGAGGCAGGACCAGCCTGTTTCTAGCCACTGAGAATGACATCTTTCAAAGTAAAACTCATTGGTATCACAAAACAAAGACCTCGACAATTACGTTTCCACGGGTGTTCAATCTGCAGCCCATGGGCCACATGCAGCCCAGAATGGCTATCAATGTGGCCTGACACAAAATTATAAATTTACTTAAAACATGAGATTTTTCTGTGATTACATGTCACAATATACTTAATGGGTGGCCTAAGACAACACTTCTTCCAGTGTGACTCAGAGATGCCAAAAGGTTGGACACCCCTGCCTAGGCCATGGGGAAGGATGTATGTGCACTGGGGACTGGGACAGCAAAGGACAACTAGGCATGAGATAGTGACCCCTTTGGCGGCCAGTCAGGGACTTCACCTCCCATGGACAGGGTTTTGTGGCAGCTGCAGCTGGAGGTAGGGGCCATAAAACTGACCCCACTGACTGCCTGCTATGGTGCCCACCCAGCTTCCACAGCCTTGACCAAATGCCACCCCCAGCTGAGGGAAGGAAAGGCTGGTGGCCATCTCTCTATCAAAGAAAGGGATGCTCTGGGTGTTAGCACTCCCCTTTCTGGAAATATAGGATGAGCAGAGCCACAGGCACACGAGCAGAGCCCTTGCCAGCCCTGACAGAGGCCACACACATCCTGAGAATTCTGCTTCTTATAGCACAAATGTGGGACAGAGGAGAAGCTAGGATGGACCCTGTGTCATTGGATTAGAATTAGGGGTATAAACTGCTGGGGCCCAATCTAGAAAGATCAATATGTAAATAAATATGCAAATGTATATATGCATGTTTGTATTATAATACAGCATTCACACATGCACATGCACGCACATTATGTACACAGGCACACATGTACGTTTCCCATCTCTATCTGGGACCCATAATAGACCAAAGTCAATGACCACCCCACGTGCCCCAATATGGGCCTCAAATACCATCCTCCCCTCAAAGAAATCAGGCTCTTTTGAAGGAATGGCTGGTACCACAACTGCAGTAGGGAAAGCACAAGATCAGTCACGAGCAGCATTTTGGGCCAGAAGCCAGGCAATACTATAAAAATTATGGGCCATGTCAAAGGGACATAAGAGCCAGCCAGGAGGGACCCCCACTGGCCAAGTTAGGGACAATATGAGCATCAAAATAAATAATGACAGAATGGAGAGTAACTGGATAAAATAGCAAACCCTGAGTCGGTCCATGCAGACATGAATGAGTGAGTGGATGAATGAATATACTGAAAGCCTGCTGACAGATGGGGTATTTACATAGTGTGTGTGTACCCCCAACAGTGACTACCTGAGAACAGTGGGAGAAAAGCAGTTCTAGGTGGAGACACTTGGCAGATATTTCCCAGACTGGGTGATCAGTAATGGCACACCCTGAAATCTAGACCACTTGATAGGAAAGCTTCTGTGATTTTCCTGCCAACAGTGAGGAAACATCAGAGAAAGCCAATGTGAAAGATTCTACAAAAAAACTGGACAGAAATGTTCAAAGGTAAAAGGACAAGGAAGACCAGGGCAAGTCCTCCAGGTTGAAAGAGGCTGGACACATGACAAGGACATGAAGTGTGAAGCCACCTCGGAGAGCCCTGTTGGGAAGGGCAGTGCAGGGAAGATGGGGACCATCCATGGAGTCTGTGGTCAGGTGGCCAAAACAGATCAGCATCACTGTCCTGACTTGACAGGTACAGAGGTAATGGAGGAGAACGCCCAAGCATGTAGAAAATACACGCTAATGTACTCAGCGACAGGACATCAGATCTGCAACTTACTAGTTTCAAATGGCACTAAGAGAAGTATACTTTAGGCTGGACTGCTCCTGCTCTGTACGTCTGAGATTACTTAAAATTTTAGAATGCATAATACAAAACAGAGTCCCCAACAGCAGGCAGGACCTCCCTTCCTCCCAGCTTGTCTGATGTCTTCTTAGGAGAGTGACACAGGCAGGGCTTGTGCTTCTGTACCTTTCCATGCATTAGCAGGCGGATTGTCAGGGTCACATTCAGGCCACCTTCTGAGACCTTGGACTCCATCTTTCTCCCAAAATGTGGCTGGGGGTGGTAGGTTAAGGTGCCAAGGGTGCCGTGAGGAAGGATAGATGGGGCCCAGATGGTGTCACCTGGAAAGAGAAGGCACAGATGCTGCTGAGAACACCAATGGCCAATGCACTGGGGGAATGTCCTGGCCTCTGGAGGAGTAAGGAGGCTGCTGACAAGAGGCAGATGCTCAGGAAAAGGCTTCCCCAGCATTCGTGGAATGACCTGCTAGGGCATGGGGTACAGAGCAGTGGGGGAGGGGGGCAGGCCTCAGGAAAGCCCTTCAGGGACGGATCCAGCCCCACTGCTCAGTAACTAGAGGACGATCGCAGGTCACCAAGCCCTCTGGCCTCAGTTTTCACCTCTGTAACAAAGAAACAGCTCTCTTAGCTTCCAGAGAGGGGCAGGGTCATCTGGTAAGCCCTGGGGCCCTCATGTGCACCCAGTGAGTGCCTATGGTGCTGTGAGTTTAATGCTGCCCATTCCTCTCACATTGGTGCCAGGATCCCCACCCTCCTGCTGTGATTCCCTTTACCCTTAAAAAGTCAGGAAATTCCAGGTATCGCTGTGCTCTTGACATATAGAGTAACCTTGGTAATCCTCACTTCAGAAGTGGATTTAGTCTCTATCAACTAAACTGCCCCAGAGCTGAGCATCCCCCTTTATAAATTTCCAGAAAATGCTTTGCACCTCCATTTCATTGGTCTGTTTGCAGTTTACTTTCTGCAGACAGCTGGCTCAGAGCTTAGTGAAGGCAATGTGAAGGCTCTACTTTGTGAGTTACAGGCGAGGAGTGATTATGGGCAGTGAGCTTCCAGGACTGGAGGGAGGAGTGCAAGGTGCCCCCAGGCTGTGTGCTGGAGCTCAGGTACTCTGGACTTGGCCTGAATGGATGAAGCATGGAGGACAATGTCCAAGCAGTGACCTGAGCCCCCCCACCCAGGTCTGCATGGAGTCCCGACTGCAGCCCCATTCTTGGGGAAGATCCAGGTCCTCTTCTGGGCTGGATTCTGAGGACAGGTCACCCCCCACCCTGGTGTATGGAGTGGCCACATGAAACCAAGACGGGCAAGGTCAGTTGAGGGCCAGAGTGGACAGTGTGGAGGGGACTCTCAGATCAGACAAGGAGAGGTCTAGGAGAATCAGGCATGCACAGCCCAGATACTGGGGGATGGTTAGGGTACACATGACCCTGACTCTAGGGCTGGGAGTTGCTACCTCACTCTGAGGGCAGGGGTATATGTGGGTGGTGTTTGTGTAGCCTTTCTTGGAGTTGGAACAGGCAGTCTGGGCTCCTGTCTGTGCAGTGCACAAAAGGGGTGGGCACTGGAGAGCCACCTGCCTGGGTGTAAAACAACATGGCAGGATGTGGGGAGGTGAGGAGTATGTATAGGGATATTACATGATGAACAGGTTAGGGGACACATGGGTGCAGAGACATCACAGGGGACCCACAGAAAGGAGGAGAAATGAGGACACAGGTGGCCCCAATGGGAGCAGGGAATCCACTGGTTTTGGAGAGAATGGGTGGGTAGGTAGGCAGGAGAGCAGGGGATGGGGGCCATAGGGATCTGACAGCAGAGTGTCTTTATTGGTCAGAAAGGGAGGAAGGGCTAGCTAGGGGAAGATTCTGAATGACCCCTGGTGTGGGTCCAGGCCTAGGAGAGGCCCTCACCAACCACGCATGGCAGCATGGCAGGCCTCCAGGAGCCACAGCCTGTCCGAGAGCATAGGTGAGTGTGCCAGGACAATGACGGATGAGGCTTTGGAAGCCCTAGAGGAACCAAGGGCTGGGACTGGAGGAGCTCCTCACATACTACCCCACATTTAGTCCCTTCAATAATGACAATGTCACATTGCCTGTGCTGCTGCCTAAATCCTTCAGGAACAAAAGTCCTGTGAAACCTGCATGCGTCCTCATGCACCTGCTGGGCTGTCTGGACGTTGGCCCTATGATGTAACTTGTAAAGATGAGAGGGTCTGTCCACATACCAGAGAGATTACAGGTTAAAAAGGCAAGCTTTTCCTTTAACCTTATAGGGCTTTTTTCGGGGGGGGGGGCAAAAAGTTGTTTTTTCCTCATCAAAATATTTCTGCTAAAAATATGCTAAAAGGAAAAAAAAATAAAGCACAGAATCAAAGCACATCCCATCACTTTTGTGATGAGTAACAGATACCTGCAAAGAGCAGTCACGGGTGGTTGACAGGCATGGGCAAAATTGACAGCTACTAATGCATTTCTGCAATAATAAGCACTTACATTTAAAAATGTACTTACAGGCAGCTTCAACACACTCCAATTATTAGTTCTAATTATTCACAATTAGAACATTTAAATAGCAAGGATTTTAACATGAAGGTATAACACACAGCACGAGAATTTAAAAAATCATCCTCCCATATGAATGTCCTCTATCCTCAGTGTCCAGCACAGCAGCCACTAGCTACATGGGGCTATTTATATTTAATGCAAAAAGTTCACCAGCCACATTGAAGTGTTGAGTAAACAGCTTCATGTGGCTGCTGGCTGCAGATGGAGGAGCACAGACACAGAGAGTGCTGCTGTCCCCCAGAGTTTTGGTGAAAGGCTCAGTGCACCCGGGCACTTGGAGGAAAGACCTTGAAAAGGAAACGGGCTCTAGCTCCAGTGACTGGTGTGGCACCAGATATGAGTGCCCCACCCTACAGAGGTACCCTACAGCAAGCCCTTTTGGCTCCAGGATGTGGAAGGCCGAATTCCCAGCACCCATACACTGGATTGCCAGGTGCCAGGTTGGGGAGCCTGCTTCACTTCCGTTAGAAACACCTCCTCCTGAGTCAGGGGGACAGCAGGGCCCTGTGGCCTTCTGTTATGTAAATGTTTCCAGCCCATGGTGGAGAAAGTAGGTCAGCGAGTGCCAGGGGTGCTGCAGGCTCCAGGCTGTCAACTACCATCAGTCACACTGGCCAGCGAGCTGCTGCAGAGGCCAGTGCCTTCCTTCATCACACGCAGAGTGCGTGTCACAGAGCTCTCTGCAGACTGGTGGGAACAAGAAACAGCCCAGGGAGGTGGTTAAGGTCACCTGTGACACAGTACCCTTGACCCTGAAGAATTCACCCTGTGCCAGCTGGTGAGCGGAGAGTGGCATGGGGCAAGTGACTTCTCCAGGATAGTGGGCCTCTCAATGGGTATGGGTCATCCATCCTCTGGTTGTCCTGCCAGACCCCAGGACACCTGCTCATCCCGGGCAACCTGAAGAGTGCCCAGGGCCTTGCTATCACTTTAGGGGCCACCGCTGCCCAGGAATTCAGAGGAGCAAGTGGAAGAATCCAGGGGAAGCAGCAGCCAGACTCATGTGTTCACAGTCACCCAAAAAAGTCAGAAGGGTGTTCCACAAACTGGCAGGTTCCTCTCTTCAGCTTTCTTTTGGTTAGTCTTAGCATGGTTTATCTTCTTCATCTTTTAACTTCTTTGTTTCTATGTATTTGAGTTTCTTGTAGGCAGCATAAATTTAGTCCTGCTTTTTTTTTTAAATCTTATTTGATAACCTCTGACTTTCAATGGGCCATTTAGACCATTTGCAGTGGTTGCTGATATGGCTGAGTTTAAACTGATCATTCTATTTCTTGTCTATTTTTACTGTCTATTCCTTGTTCCCCATCTCTATTGTTTATTTTCTCTGCCATCTTTTGGATTGGATGCATGCATTTTATGACGCCAGTTTACCTCCTTTGTCCACTTGTTACAATTCTTTGTTTTGTTATCACAGTGGTTGCTTTAGGGTTTAACTCATTACAGGACAATGTCCAGTGGTCTCGGACACTTTGCATGCAGTGCTGCAGGTCCCAGGCTGTCAACTACCATCAAGAACCTCGCAGCAGTCTGCTCCCACTTATGCTCTCACTGGCACTGTTGCTGTCACACACTTAAGTTCTACCTATGTCATAGGCCCTACAGTACATTACTATTTTTAGTTTAAACAATGATCTTCTAAAGGGGTTTGGATAACAAGAAAATCTCATTCTTACCCATTCTTCACCCCTTAGGGGGATTTGGATGTCCACCTGCTGCCATTCTTCCTCTACCTGAAGCATTTCCCTTAGTATTTTTGGCAGTGCAAAATGGTGCCCTAGCTAGCATAAGAGTTCTTCTCTTAATCACTGGCTTTGATCAATTTAATTATGATGTGCCCTGTTATAGTTTTCTCATGATTTTTTTGTGCTTGGGGCTTCTGTGAGCTTCTTGGACATGTGCCTTATAGTTTTAATCAAATTTGGAAAATAGTAGCCATTGTTTTTTAAATGTATGTTCTGCCCCCGCCACTCCCCCATTTTCAGGGCCTCCAAATGCACACACATTGGCTCCCTGAAGTTGTGTCACAGCTCCCTGATGCTCTGTTCATTTTTTCCTACCTTTTCCCTCTCTGTCTTTAAGCTTACTAACATTTGCTATGTGATGCTTAGCTGTGGCTCCTCCCACCCAGTATACTGTTTATTTCACACTGCAGTTCTCACCTCTAGGAATCAGTCTGGGTTTTTTTTTCCTCTATCTTCCACATCTCCAAATGTTTAGTTATAATAATGATTTCAAAATGTTGTCATCATTTCTGAGTCTAGGTCTAGAAAGCGAACACCCAATTGGGAGAGCACAGGCCACTGGCAACTCTGACAAGGGCTCTTTCGCTATGGGTCACAGGGCAAGTACTCAGCAGTGCTCGGCTCAGACCTGGTCTTCCAGGGGCAGCACACCGGCACTCTCACAAGCCAAGATGAGGGAGACCTGACAACCCAGTCGCTTCTTCAAGCCCACTGCTCCTTCCAATCCCGTGCCCTGGCAAATGGCTGCAGTGCAATGGCAGACACAGTACCCTTATTCAGTTCAGTTTGACCTATAATGAGATGATCCAAATCCCCTGGTTTCCTGTGTTGAGCAGTTCCAGAGCCACAGTATCCACTGGTGGAAACTGGTCTCAAGTCCCCTAGGCAGAGCAGCAGTAGCCTTCAGATGGTACATCTACTTGTAAGGGCTCCCCCTGGTTTTCCAAGATTTCCCCTCTAATGCTGGGCTAGAGAGAATTAGTAGGAATAGAGGCAGGTTTTGTGA